GCAGGAGGACTCTGTAAACTCTCAGCATCCTGGGAGGGTGAGAAGAGCGGGTTCTCTGCCTAACTCATTTCAGTTCTTTGAGGTAACCAAATGTTACTATATTTTCCCTGTAAGAATTACCAATTTTTAACAAATGTGAGTATAATAAAAGAAACAAATGCATTGAATGCATTTTTGTAAGATATATCCATTAAGCACTTATATAATGGGTAAGATAGGCCATGTGCTGTTCTAAATACTTGTAAGTACTAATTTAATCTCTATGATGATCCTGGGATTTAGATGCTACTATTGGACCCACTCCATAAATGAGTAAACTAAGGCACAGAGAGATTAAGCAATTTATTTATGGTCACATGGCTAGTAGATGGCAAAAAAAGGATTTGGATCCAGGCAGTCTGACATCAGGGTCTATGCCCTTATTTGGCTTTTTTTTTTTTTTTTGAGGAGTGGTAGGAGAGGCAGGAGGAGACAAAAAGAGACTTTTTTTTTTAAGATTTTATTTTTTTATTCATGAGAGACAGAGAGAGAGAGAGAGAGAGAGAGAGGCACAGGCAGAGGGAGAAGCAGGCTCCATGCAGGAGAGCCTGATGCGGGACTCGATCCCAGGACTCCAGGATTACTCCTTGGGCCGAAGGCAGGCGCTAAACCACTGAGCCACCCAAGGATCCCCGAGAGAGAGAGAGAGACTCTTAAGCAAGCAGGCTCCATGCCCAGTGCAGAGCCCAAAGTGGGGTTTGATCTCACAACTCTGAGATCATGACCTGAGTTGAAATCAAGAGTCAGATGCTTAACTGAGTCGCTCAGGCACGCCTTGCCTCCCTTCCAAGAAAAGGTCCCAAGGACACTGTGGTTCAGAGAGAAGTGACTTGCATGACTATACCCTGCCTCTCTCTCAAGATCCATGCTCCTACCTTAGACTAGCAAGAAAGCAATGAACACTATCACGGTGCAGTTCTTCCTTCCAACAAATTCTTATTAGGCATTTATTATGTGCCTGGTACTATTTTAAGCCCTGTTTATAACCAAGAAACTGTAAGAGACTGAACAAATTTGGATCAGATTCTTTGACATCTTCCAAAAGTTATTTAAAAAGTCAAATCCTAGGGATCCCTGGGTGGCGCAGCGGTTTGGCGCTTGCCTTTGGCCCAGGGCGCGATCCTGGAGACCCGGGATCGAATCCCACGTCAGGCTCCCGGTGCATGGAACCTGCTTCTCCCTCTGCCTATGTCTCTGCCTCTCTCTCTCACTGTGTGACTATCATAAATAAATAAAAATCTAAAAAAAAAAATTAAAAAAAATAAATAAAAAGTCAAATCCTATTGTTATCTCTGTGTCTTAGGGAAGATGGAAAAACAACAAAACAAGTCTTATTACTTGAGCTTTCTGGCTCCTTGGATTCCAGATAATTGTTTTCTGGTATTGGAGGTCACTTTCAGAAGCATCAAGTATAGATCAAAACAGAAAGCAGAGAGCAGGGTAAGATGAAAATATGTGTAAGTCCAACTCAGCTCAGAGCTATAGTTTAATTGAGATTCCAAATGCCACTCTCCTCTGCATTCCTTTGTCCCTGGCTATGACCAAGTTCATGGCCGTATTACCCCTAGTAATCCCTGTAATGGGCTGCAATCCTGGGGGAGCAGTTTCTGTTTATTAAGTGGCCAGCCTCTGCACCACATGGAGTGTGGCCAGTTGTGGCTTCTTGCCCTGGCTTTTGATGGGCCACTTTTCTGTTTAAAAAAACAAAACAAAACAAAACAAAACAAAAAAAACACAAAACCACAGGGATCTTCCAGGAGATAGAACAGAGATAGAAGGCAAGGGCTGTGGGAGACCCAGAGGTGATGGGTGCTGAAAGTGAGGGCCCTTTCCAGGTCCTGAGATCTTTGAGAGCAGAGTTCACATGTGTGTGCTGCACATTAGCTAGCCTCAAGATTGCTGAGACTACAGTTGTACAGGGCTTCAGTGCAGGTCCAAGGATGCTGCCACAGTTGTAGCTGCCCACGATGCCACCAGCGTGAACACGTGGGAGAAGGGAGGAGACCAAAAGGTGACAACTGGCAAGAGGTGATAAATGAACAGGGCAAGGCAAATAGCAGAGTGTGTCTCTCCCAAGGTCCTGGCATTCTGTGCTTCAGACAGCACCCCAGGCCACAGGATCAGGTTGCACCTGGTCTCTCAAACCCACAGCCTCTTCCTTCCCTGCCCACGGCCTCCGTGTCTGCCTTTTGGAGTTGGGGAGACACAGCAGCAGCTGCCCGGCTGTTTAGACACCCTGTCCCCTCACTGTGTCCCCCCTCCTCCCCAGGCATCTGTCCTCTGGTTGGAGTTGTGTGAAGCGGAAGACAATGTGGGGCTTATTAGTGTCCCAGGGAGACACGTAAGTTGTGTTGCTGGGACCCAAACAGCAAGAGTCTTAGCGGCAAACTCCAGCCGAGAAAAGACTGAGGGATTGTCTCACCTAATTATGGGGAATGGCCCTCTTTGTGTTTGTGATTCGGTACGGTTGTCCGATCGCTTTTGATCGCTTTTCTCCATTTGCTGGCTCAGGCCATGCTGGAATTGTGCTAATTAGAAGAGAAATGGACAGAGTGATCCTGTCAGTCCTGGTTACTGGTGGGGACAAAGCGGAATATTATTCTGAGGCAGTGTTTTGTGAGGGCCCTTCTTCCAGCTCTCATTAGGAGGAAGGGGCCCACAGGAGGGGAAGGTTCCAAATGCCTGGCCTGGCTAATGGAGCATTGGGGTGTTCATGTGCTAATTAACAAGCTCTGCCAGCACTTGCACCAAGTTGAGCCTCATGGTTGCACCTGGTGCCACCTGAGCCCCCAAATGCCCCTGCTCATGAAGAAAAAGTGCTGAGCAAAGAGTGGGAAGGCTGGTGGACTTTAGGCATAGTCGGGGACACATCCCCAAAGTGCCAAGGAGCCTAACCAGATAGGAGAAGCCAGTTACAGGACAGTCGGAAGTTAAACTTGGGGAGGCCACTGTTTGGGGTGGAGGCTATAAGGCTCTCTGGTGAAAGAGAAGCCCATGCAGGGTCTGTAGAGCTGGCAATGGATGAAGAAAATCGACACTGGAGAGCATAACCAAATGGTTGGAGATGGATTTTGTGTAGAAGTTGATAGCTGGTAAGAAATCATGTGGCCTGACCCCTGAGACCGTCTACCTTGGCCCACTAGCCTGTTTCTTCCCTTCCTGTTCTGCCTGTTTCTCTTTTCTGTGAGGCCTTAATCCTGCAGGAAACAGAAGGGACCAGAGCATCCCACTGGAAAGGAAATTTCTTGGTTTCATCACAAAGCTTCTGCATAAGTCCAAACACCCTTCAGGAACCAAAGAGGCAATGGACAGACTGACCAGCTCCATTTTCCCTGCCCAGAAGACAGAGGAGCTACAATAAAGCTGCAGCTAGAGAACCACAAACAAGCAGCAGTTCTCAAGTGTCCATTTAAAAAATATGATACGTGGGTAACAAAAAGATAAAGCAAAATTAATAATGGCATCTTGCTATTAATACAGTTAATAGCCTGTGAACTTTCAGCGCTCTAACAATGGAAGGAAGGCCAAGCAAATCAGCAGAGGCCAAGCAAGAATCTGAGAGACTGAGTGAGCAAGAAGCAACAAGGCTATTGGTGAGGAAAGACTTGAATAAGAATTTGAGAACAGCTCTCCAAGCCCCGGTGCTATTCCTCTCAAAACAGTGGTGCTCACAGTCAAAAGATGCTTCTATAAGGACGGCATTTGGAATGGCAAAGGGAAAGGCAAAATGAGCCTGTGGGCAGTAATATGTAATTATTGATTGGAAAAATAATCTCTCAAGATTTAGAGCAGCACAGTCATAACGCTGTTCCTGTCGCGTCAGCTGCCCAGCTGTGCTTTTCCAGATCAGAGATCCACTGCCCACCCAGTTGTTTTCTTGTAATTCAATGATAAGCCAATGATGCCAAGCAATCTGCTTTCTTCACATGGAATGTTTCTCTAAAAGGGCATGATGCTCTGCTCTGGGGCAGGTTAACTATCAACGGGGGACAGTGATAGTACTAATACTTCCTCTCCTCTAGTTTTTTTTTAAAGATTTTATTTACTCATGAGAGACACAGAGACACAGGCAAAGGGAGAAGCAGGCTCCAGGCAGGGAGCCTGATGTGGGACTCGATCTTGGGCCTCTAGGATCAGGCCCTGGGCTGAAAGCGGTGCTAAATCGCTGAGCAACCCGGGCTGTCCTTGCCTCTAGTTCTTGAGCAGAGTTGAAAAGGAAGTCACACTAAGGATTTTAGTAGGTGATGGAGAAACATCTATTTTCAATCAATCATGTTTAATTGGAAGTCTGCAAGCAGGTGTTTTGACCCTTACAGCTCAAAGAAGACACCAACGACTAACTGGATGTACAGGAGACAGCTGTAACTTCAAGGAGCTTACAATTAATTGGGACAAGAAGATCAGCACTCAGATCACTTTATAAGGCAGAGTTGGTATGAGTCATAGGATGGTATACACAAATGTTGTAGGAACGTGGGGGGAAAGATTGTTTCCAGCTGATTCATCAGGGTTTTGTAGGAAGGGTAGATTTGATAGATGCAAAAGGGATCTGACACTTTCTAGGAACTCAATGGCATGAGCAAAGGCACTCAAGTGAGGAAATGGGAATTGTTCAGATTAACTGGAACAGAGACCTCATATATTGGAGAAGAGGGTTGATTAGGATTACAAGCAGAGAGTTTTAAATGCCAGGATAAGAGACCCAGACTTTATTTTTGGACACAAGAAGGTATTAAAGGTTTTTAAGTAATACTTTAGGGAGTTGAGCAGTAATGGGCTAGGATGGCTGGGAGAATAGACTGGAAGCTGGGAGACCAAGTAGTAGATGGTCATGAAGCATCACACCACCCACTATGATATTTAAGAGGGAAAATAGCAGGTCATTCATCATTATAGTTGCACTTTCTGATGAATGCTTTAAATATGCAACTTGGCCCTTTGAGGAAAAGAAAAACTCACTCTTCTATAAAAAGGACATATTTATTATGACAACACAGAAACCATCATATACAAAGCACAGTACTCTAACACCCTGAAGTCCACACACACATTATACATCCATTTATATTATCAATATAAAAATACATCATTAACATTTCTAAGGATGACAAATACAAAACCAATAAATATCACAATTCTAAAACATCTACTTATATTAAGTGCTGGTGAGTAAGATGACAATAAAATAAAGGCCAAAGCAGATCAGAAAACCAACTACATAGCGTTGGGTTACACACCTGAGTTGGTTTTGGGGAGGTATCCTCATATTCTCCATGTATTTCTCAATTTCCCCACACACCTAAAAGTGCCTGAAGTCATCAACTCTCAAAAACAGAGCAAAAGGAAGATTCTGACGTTATGGCACTATTTATTGCCCTTTCCTCCCTTCCTACTCTCTCTCTCTCCCACTTCAACCGTATTTAGAGAAAAAGGAATGTCAATAATAAGCTTAACTTAAAATCTATGCCTCTCCAGCCTAAATTTCTATCACACATCCAGGCAGAATGGTTTCTTTCTCATACCCATTCTTCGTGACTCACTTTCAACTTTTCCCCTTATCAATACATAGAATCGCATGGAGAGCAAAAATGAGAAAAACCCAATGTTAATTTTAGCATGGGAAACAAGGCACAAATGTCAGAAATGGTTAATAGACCAGCTATTAGACTGAATAATGCTGCACCCTAGCACAGACACTCAGGACAACTTTCCTTGTGTCTAAACACAGTCAGACAACTGCCACATGGAGGTTCGTTGCATGAAGGCTAGGAAGCCTCATGTATTTCTCAAAACATCAGAGGCTGGGGGCTGGCTTATGAGACAAAATACGGAGAACATGTATAATCAATTTTACGCATGGGTTAGGTTTTCAGGTTTTAACACAGATAACTGGCAAAGAGCTCCATAAGAACTGTATTTAAGTCAGAAAATTCTTTCCTTTCATGTGTGTGTGTACTTCTGTTACATTGGTGAATTATCTGCTGTGTGCTATGAAAGGGGACATGGGTGGGGCGGGTGGTAAAATACAGCACATTCTTTTCAGGTCAATTAGAGTTTCCAGTTTTTTAATCAAATGGGAACTCCTGCAAACAATCCCTTTCTCCTACCTTTAAGGCCATACTGACTTTCTTGTGTGAGTCTGTAACAGATTAGCTGGAACTCAAAAGTCCTTTCATCTTTAACTTGGTCTTGAGGTCTAGAACCCAATGCAACCTTGCAAGGGCCTCTCATTAGCTAATCCCAGGAGGGACCTGCTACATAGGGATACCCTATCCTGGAATTAAAACTGATGGTGGGGAACAAAAGGCACTGGGGAATGGGACTATTGTGAGAGGTACAGAATTTTTAAAGGAGGTGTACATTTCAAGAAGATTCTGGCTTCTCCAGCTGGGGATTCTTGGAACCCAATATATATATATATATATAGAGTTCACAGGTCAGGCTGCCTGGTCTGTTTCAGAATCTAATTGGTCTCTGGTCTCCCCGCACCATAAACACTTCCTATGATATCAAGTACAAGTCAAAAGAACCCATCCAATCAACGTGCCACAACTGACTTTGCCATCACTGAATCAAATCAACTGTAAGATCCTGGGACTCCTGAATCCCTTTCTGAAACGAGAGTGCAGGACTTTGACCTTTAAGAAAGATGTGCCCTCTGCTGTTACCCACATCCAAGGCTGAGATGGTCAAAGTCTGGAAGCTGAATAACTACACTGATCCTTCTGTAGAGAATCTATGGAGCAGATTCCTCTCTTGCCACCGAGTGTCTGCAGACGTGCAGAGTGCCATGAGCAGGGGAGAGGGTCAGTCCTGGAGGTGCATCCTCCGGCCTCTCACCAGGAAGCAGAGAGTTGCACGACGTCAGAGCTGCACTGGGAGGGGAGCATGGTTCCAGTCTCCAGGACATCCTGTCCACAAGCAGCTGCTACTTCTTGGGTTTCTCCAGAATGTTGAGAAACTTCCCCCGTGTCATCTCTCTAGCTGGAATCACAGCAAATGGAAGATCAGTGAAAACCCCAAATCTGAAAAAAGAGATCTCAGGAAAACAGAATTTAAACATGCAAATTGATTTAAATTGTAAAAACAAGTTGCTACCATAACAGATTGAATCATCACTAACCTCCTAAAAGAGGGAAAAACAAACCACCATTGACACTGGACCAAGCTGTTCTGAAGTTGGCAATTGCTATAAGGCAAAGGCCAACTGGGAAAGATTATCATCCATCCTTAAAAAAAATCCCCAGGGAATTCCCCCAAACCTGTTTCTCTCTCTCGAGAAGGTAACCTAATACTCATGTTCACTATGTCAGGGGATTTGCTCTTGGAGACTATAATCCAGCCAAGATTAGAGTCTTCTCTGGGTTGTTGGTCTCTGGACATTTATAATCTCAAATCAAAATTAGAGATCATTTACCCCATCTCTCAGCAGTGGTAGTCTCTAGATGCTGTAATATAACAGGGTTTATATTCCCTCAGTGCAGTTCATCTGTGGATGGTGTAATAAAGTAGGGTTTATAGAGCTTTGGTCTTCTCTCTCTTGGCATTGTCAGTCCTTAGATACTTAATATAGCCAGGCAAGGTTTATGTGTCTTTCTCTGACTTTCAGCACCATCAATCTTTGAATGCTATAGTTACAAGAGGGTTTTATACAGCTACTTTCCTACATATGAGGCTCCAAAATGAAAGTAAAACATTTCTCAATTACAAGGGCCAGTCCATAAGACCGCTGTTTTAGCTCTGTTAAGCAAATCCTCAAAAAGTGTATATATTATAATAACCCCTTCCTCCTCATCCCTACAAAATCATCTTTTCAGATCTCTTAAATATATTTAACAGTGCTGGACGTTTCTAATGGCTAGTCCTGGAGGCCAGAGGTCTCCTGGAACCGTGCAGTGGGCACACAGCAGGCTGTGTTTGTGGCCTCCTAAGAATATGTCCTCATCCTGGCCAAAGAGTAAGATGGCTGGAGACCCAAAGAATGAAAAGGATCTTTGCCCTAGCCTCCTTGTCTAGAGACAGTGCTAGATGAATGGGCTCCACGCCCTTTCCCTACCAACATTTACAGTTCCTGGTTTATTTGTACAACAGAGAAATAAAACAACACAAACTCTGTAGCCACGGGAAAGCTTCTGGTGCCTGCAGTCCATATATTCCCCAATCTCTCACAAATTCTGAAGCTCCAACAAAGGGAAAGGAAATCCCGTTAACTAGGAATGGAAGCCCCAGTGCTAAGTGTTGCCTCATGTGCCCCCAACCCCATCCTGGCTCAAATTAAACTGACCATTCCTTCCTTGGTGCATTTGCACCAAACCCTATACAAAGTTCCAGTAAGACTTGTAATTATTTGTTTATATACTGGTCTCCCTGCATTAAAGGGTAAGAACTGAAGGTAGAGATGGTTTCATTATTCTTTATATCTCCAGCAACTAGTACAGCATTAAACCTTGTATCTGCTAAATAAATGTTGGCTGAGTGAATGATAATAGACAAAAGAAGTATTCCAAGCAGGAATGCATCATGTTTGTTGCCTTCCTTCACAGAGACAAACAATATTAATGGCCCTTAAATGCTTCATTCTCTGCATTGTGGGTCCCCCCCCCTAAATTTACCTTGCTTATTTGGCAAGAAAAATAATTTCCTTTGATGGAAGTAAAGCCAGATTAATGGAGAGATGGAGGTAGGATTAACTACCCTAGAGGAAATCCAAACAAGTATTTTCTCGTCCATGGGAGGCAGCAGGGACTTCTTTCAGGTAACATAGGGTGTGAACTCAGTTTAGGTTCTGGCTCCAGCACTGAGCAGCTGGGTGACACCTCGGGTGGGGCAAGATCTCTGAGCCTGTTTCTCTCCCTGCAAAATGAGTAGCATGTTAATGCCACCTGCCCTGCTCTTCTCTTGGATGTTCAGCAATGAACATGCTGGGTATAGAGGTACCATTAACACACCACCTTTCAAAGGAGGGCAAGTGGTCTGTTACTTCTTCTGCACTCAGTGTTTCCTGAGTGAATGAATGAACCAAGTGTGATAAGAAAGGAGGCTAGCAAACTAAAAAATCCCATTCCTTGGAATCTTTTCCCTCAGCCTGATCCTATAGGAAGTGACATATACTTTTGGCCAGAGTGGGTCTCATCATTTATTTCTACTGGATGGGTTTCCTGCCTCCTCTCTGGAGCTTATTAAGGAGTTTTACACGGTATCAAATGATCCTGCAACATGGCTAGAAGTCGGTACTCTGGAAACCAGACATGGGTAATACAAAACTCTGCTGGCAGAACAGAGCCTTGCTCCCAAAATCCTGGGCTGGGAGCACTATAGTGATCTTACTAATTATTTCCGTCCTGGTGCTCTTCACATCCCTGATTCTTTACTGTTTTTTCCCCAAATGGGAGACTGACCAATATTCTAAGATGTAAAATTTAAAAAGATCCAATCTATTTGACGGATCAAAAGGATTTAAAAGGCAAAATAAACAGATCTTCCAAAGTCTCTTGGTGGCAAGCTCTCCTTGAATTTAACCAATCCTTTTTAACAACCCTTTCCCCACTCAATCATTCCTCCCCCTTCAACCTAATCTAAGTACACAGAGCTGCAAGAAACCACCGTAAAAGTAGAAGTAATTCAAAGACCTCATCTTCTACATGGGAGGGGAGAAAGTTTTCCTACTCGCCAGTCCCATATAGGAGATATACGAATTCGTGACATAGCTGCTCCCTAAAAGAGGGCTGTGCCCTATAAATCATATCCAAAGCACCAACCCCTCATTGTGCACAGGGAAATTGCTGTGGGTCAGGGGCAGCTTCAAAGCTCAAGCCCTCCTGTTCACTTGTTATCAGAGATGTTAACATCTCTGATTAATTCACATACCCCTTATTTTATTCCTCATTTCTTTATCATTTTGCCTTCTTGCTTTTTCCTGCAGTGTGAAGATTCTTACCGACCTGCTACAGTAATCACCGCCTGCTAGCCGCACCCCCCTAAACCTAGTGAAATTGTTTAGTGATGCCAACCGCGCTTTTAATTTGCAAGACATCAGACACAGAGGTAATTTATACCAACATCTGTTCATTTTTGACTTCTGAAACAAACTCGCACATGCTGCTACAAAATCCCATTAGGAGTAGGGAGACAGCCTTCTGCTACTATTCTGTATTCCTCTTACACACATACACACGCATGCCTGCACACACACACATACATGCGCTCACATGCACGTACATACACACCCCTTCCAGCAGGGTTTTATATGTAAATGTATTTTTCAAAAAACTCCCACCAAGGGTTTCAAATCTCTTCAGGGAAAGGCCTTTACAGATATCTCTGGCTTGCTTATAGAGGAGAGGAAGACATTTCTACTCCCTGCCTTGCTTCATCCCTTCTTTCTTCTATTTACAGGTTGGTACAATTTTTGCATTAATGGCCATGGTAAGATTACATGCTCCCCAGCTTGACACTTCCAGTTCCTCTTTTCCTCCTGTTCTTTTTTTCCACTGTGTGCTATAAGATAATCCTAGAGACAATAAGATTGCTAGGGTTTTACTCAGAGTCAATAAAATTTCTTAACTCTTTTCTAATTCTGAGTTAATTCTCTAGGATTATGAGGTTCAACAGGAAGGCAACACTGCTACCACATTCTAATAATTATGCCCAGACGGATCCACTGGTGATCAGCCACCACAGTGTATGCTGTGCATAAGAGAAGTGGGACCTCCATGTCAAGTCATGATTTACAGGCCCTTCCATGCAGTGCATTGACCATGAACGGAGAAGTCACAATACAAACTGTCATAGGGTGAACGTGTGAATTGCTACAGAGACCGTGGGACAGGAGACCACTGGTATACATTAAAGACAGCAAATGGATAAACTACAATCAACTTGCAGGTTTATGCAATTTCTTTTATCCCCTTCACAGTTTCCCTAGGGCTGTCAGGTTCATTGCAGCTGTAAATACCTGGGTAGACTTAGAGAGGTCAGGGCTGAAGGGAGGACTCCATCCTGCTTGCTCTGAAGGTGGGGCTGCGGTTTAATACAATCCTTTCTTTAGATTCTCCAATTCCTCCATCTACAGTTAGCCTTGCCTCTGGTTCCCTTTCCACAATGACTATCCCCAAACTGCCTCCTCTGCAGTAAATTTTCTTGGTGGCTGGTTGAAAAAGATTCAGTGGTACAGATTGATTTCTCACCAGTGAGGGGATGAGGGATTACCAGAGGCACCCTGGTTAACGAGATTGGGTGCAGAATCTCTCACGAGACCAACCCTCTCTGCCAGGGCTTTGCACCTTTCGCCCGTGACATATGGGTTTCATTACAGAAAGATTTTCCAGATTATAACTTTGAGGCAATTGCCTGATAAAATTCTGCTCGGCTTTAATGTAGAGAACAATGTAAAGATTAAGTAACTTTTTAATGAAACGGGAGAAACTCATAATGTTTGGTTTTCAATTCCAGTGCAAACTACTTTAAATATTTCTGTGCCTCAACATAATTAAAAACATTAGCAAGATGGGGAAAAGTTACAACAGGCTGTCTTTAGGAGACTCTAATATGACTGGCAGGAAACAAAGGAAACAGCATAACCCTTTGAAAAGAGTGGGGCTCTTAACAGCAGACAGGCTTAGAGTTGGACCCCAGCTCCTACACTGACCCTGGACCACTGCAGGTGAGCCACCCAAGACATCTTTCTGAGCTCTGGTTTCTTAAAAAAAAAAAATAAAAAAAAATAAAAAATAAATAAAATTCACTTTTATTTTATTATTATTATTTTTTTAAATAAGGTCTATGTCCAACATGGAGCTCAAGCTCATGACCCTGAGATCAGGAGTTGCATGATCTAACCGAATGAGCCTGCCAGGCTTCCCTTGGTTTCCTCATTTGCTCAAGGTGTAATTAATATAAAGGTCACATACGCATTTAGCAAACATTAGCTACTATATAACCATCATTCTCTTTCCTTCATCTCAAACAAGAAGTTTATTTAAGCA